ACATGATTATAATTTCATTTTCTGTTCATGCATTAAGTAGCTTTTCTGGCTCTCTGGAGATGCTATGCTGTCCCTGGAATCTTCCACAGTATGGCATTAAACCTAGAGCTCCATGGAGACAAGCAGGTGACACGACCATATTAGGTTAGGCTATTGTCCCTGTTTTCAGACAAATATTCCCACAGGTCAGATCTGTGGAGAGGTAACTCCACTGTTTTACAAGGCATTTTTAGCAATAACACACCTCTAACTAAATAAAAAGATTAATTTAATGCCATACTGTGAAAAGTTACACAGGCACAGGAATGATAGGAGCATGACAACAACCAGAAACGTTACATAATGCACCTTTTAAATAAACTGAATACACCAAAAGCGCAGTGGAAACAGCTAAGTGTAAATACAGTGAAAAATAGTTTGCACAATAATATTTATGATTTAAGCTTTTGGAGATATTTTCAAAGGCAGTGTAATAAAGAGCCAGACTCAACAACACAAGAGAGTGATGTCGTGAGGTATAATGTACTTTTATATAATCACACCGCTCCTTTTTCACTCTCTTCCTTTTTCATATTTCTACGTGTCTCAAGTCATATCTTTGTCGATTTGCAACCCAACTAACAGAATTAGACTCAGAGCTCCTGACTGTAATTGTATGACAGATGGATGCCGCCAGCGCCTTTATTTCCCAGTGAAATTACATCTGCAGACATTTGCTTTGAGCGAGGACCTGTTTTTAAATACTAAGCAAGGCGCAATTTTTAGAAGTGGTTTTGCACAGATACACTCAGGTATACAGTCAATTGATGTGGGATCTGTAAAGGCTATTATTCATAATTATGGGACTACTGTATAATGTATAGCTGCGTAATGTAATTTGTAGGGAAATCACATAGGGTTTTGTGTAACATAGTTTTGGCATTTATTAAGAAAAATAGGCCTATAGGCTATATGTAGATGAATCCTTTAGTTAATTAACTTTAGCTAATAGGTAGCAAATTGACTAAGGTAATGTAAATACGTAGACTTGTTTGTAGTTGTTGTCCCAAGTCACATATAATTAAGAAATTATTATGCAAATTACTGACACTATATTCTATCAAAACAAAAGAGAAAAACAAACAAACTGCTGTGTTGGCCCAATTCCAAATGTTGTATTTTTATGTTGACTTTATGTTCACTTATATTAATAATAAATAACAAACTTGTGACAGATATATACACAAAAAGCATTGACTTTTTTTAGTTAATGGGACTTACGTTAAGCATTTACGTGTCAAGAGCACTTAAATATACTTTATCACAGTTATTAGAAACAGCCTGGCTATTTGTCTTTGTTTTGGTTATTACAGCAGCTTCCCTGTCTGCAGAGATGGGTACAGGCGTATATTAATTTTGCATATATTTTAGCACTAAGCTTGGGAATGAATAAAATATAGAAAGACCAGTATTTATGGTTTATTATGGTTAATTTGTCAAAGCTTTGAACAGCAGAGTGACAGTAGCTCAGTGAGGTCTGAGGGTCAATTCCTGCTCGTACCAAGCTCTGTTATTCTGTCTTTAGTTTGTCCGTAAAAGCGAGTGTTCGTGGTGGGAGGGTATACTGGTCTCGCTTTTGTCAGTCTAACCCTGGCCAGCTGTGGCTACAAAAGGGGTTTACCACCACAGAGTATAGAGTGAAAGAATAATGCACTGTAAAGAGCTTTAGAAGTCTTGAAAAAGCACTTATTTTTATGATTATACATGTTTTTTTTTACTATATTATTACTAGGGATGTAACAATAACCAAAATATTGTGATATCACATCATCAAAGTTCTCACAATAATATCGTGGATCGTCACAATATATCGAATTACAAGTCTCTTTGCTGAAATTAAGAGTTATGGTGCAGCAGTAGCTAAAAAAAAAGACAGAAGGAACTACATAGACCATGATCCTTTGCTCCAATTAAGTATAGACTACAAGAAGAAATAACTGTTCTAAGCACTCTTAAGTTTTAGTTCTTTGGATTAATTCTTGTCAAGGCATTTAAAGAGGAAAAAGTAACATATTAACAGTTTTAGCTGTTTAGCCTCCACAAAATATCACAATAAATATCATACTATGAGATTTATATTGTGAAAATATCATACCGAGAGATTTGGATATTGTTACATCCCTAATCCTGAGCCTTCCCACCATATCGTGAGCTTTCCCACGATATCGCATTAAATATCGTACTGTGAGGTTCATACCGTAACAATATCGTATTATGAGATCTGGATATCGTTACACCCCTAATTATTACACAAAATAATATTAACACTGATAATGTGAATAATTTGTTAATTTGTCTGGACTAACTTTCAATACATTTTTTTTTGTCTCACTTATTCTGTGCCTTCGAGGCTCATTTTAGTTAAGAATTATTGATTGTGTTGCCATGGAATCAACTTTATTTTGGCTAAAAATGTAAAATCTGGAATATTAGCCATCCCTGCTCATCCTGCACTAAAGGGTCCTATATCGTTCGCAAAAAGACCAGTTCTGTTGTTTGTTTTCACTTCCCTAGAAAGCAATTTTAAGCAGCCTTCCCTCACCGAATTGAACTGGCACGAGATGTCCCTGTCGTCATGCCAACTGATTAGCATTAGCATAGCATCAGTTAAGAGAGAGCATGCACTGTGACTAGACACAGTAAGAGCACACGGCGTTTGTTAAACACGAGAAAGTGCTGAAGCTTGACAAGAGCCTCATGCAGTTTACAGTCTATTCACACATTTACACAAATCAGAAACAATCACAAGAGAGCGTTTCTCAAAACCACGGGCCTGTTGGGGAAAAGCGGTGGAGAAAGTACTCAAATTTGTTACTTAAGTAAAAGTACAGATACTAGAGCAAAAAAATACTCAAGTATAAGTAAAAGTATTAGATGAAGTATTGAAGTACCTGTTTAAAATGTACAAGTGTTTGGTGCAGATTTTCAGGTCTAATACAGCTTTAATGCAGTGTTTTTGATAAGATCTGGGATGAATTTTGTTCAACATAAAAAATTTAGTTTTCTGTTTTTACTTCTATTTTTATTACTACAGACATGTTCAAAATAAAGTCTTGAGCTTTTTCAGCAGATCTCAAATTATAATTAAAAATACTTGTACCAGAGGTGGGACCAAGTCGTCGTTTTGCAAATCTCAAGTAAGTCTCAAGTCTTTGACCTCAAGCCAGATTCAAGTGAAGTCAAGTCAAATACAGGCAATTCCAAGTTGAGTCTCGAATCACTGGCCCATAAGTCCAAGTCCAAGTCGTCTGCTTTGAGCTTCAAGTCATTTCAAGTCTTTAAACCAAAGCACCAATATATAGCTTAGAGTTTTGCAATTTATGACTTTTAAGATTAATTTTACTTATAATGTCATGGTATATTTATATGTGAGTATTAATAAAGTTCATAAGAGTTGTAGAAATGCTAATTTTTTCCATCTTAAATGTCTTGACAAGATCTTAGAGTGAAACATTACAATCAAAATAGAAAGAACTCAGAGTTAAAAGTGTTTCTCACGTCTTCTCAAGTCACAGGCCTCAAGTCCGAGTCAAGTCTTAAGTCATTGACCTTCAAGTCCAAGCCGAGTCCCAAGTCTTAGTCCATTTTATCAAGTGAAGTCTCAAGTCCTGAAAATAGTGACTCAAGTCATGACTTGAGTCCAAGTCATGACTTCCCCACCTCTGACTTTTACTTTCCAGTTGTATTAAACATTTTGTGGAGGAGAAAGTACAGATACCTGCTCTCAAATGTCGTGAAGTAAAAGTAAAACGTATCTACTTTAAAATGTACTTAAAATACAGGTACTTAAATGTTTTTTCTGAAGTACAACACAGTACTACTTTGACTTTGTTACCTTCCAACACTGGAGAAAAGTGTTATTTAAACTTCCGACATTTATCCAGTATATTTAAATAGTGGCATGTTCAGTGGGTAATCAGAGGTTCACAGACTTATATTTGGAAATTTTGAAAATAGCAGGTTTTGAAAATAATGCCTGATATTTGATTGCACTATGAAAGCACCTCTGTACTTGAGGCTGAACTAGAAAATGCGACTACTTTCTAATATAGATTCCCCCTTAACATTCTCCAATAAAAACAATATGGCACCTTATTACTTGTAACAAATGGATGTAGACACAGCTTGAATCTGTGCAGGCAGGGGCTGGAGCGCTAACTTTAGCATTAGCTCAATGTAACCACCAGTTATCTCTGCCTTGTTAAGCATCATGTCTCGCTTCGTCAACTTTTATCTGCACTTTGCTTTGATTGCCCTTTTTCCGACCCTAAAAACAAGATGTGCTAAAGTGTGTGTGCCTGCTGTTTCGAATCATTCAGAATTACACCCTTTAACACCTAGGTATATGAAGTCTACTTTTACATATACTGCTCCTATTATCATTTACACTATGATTAAATGAAAGTACTACAGTCTCTGAGCAAACTGATTAGGCTAGTTGCAATTTCCATACAATTAAAATAAGCACCTTTTTACTCAAGTCAAAACTGTACATTTACTTAAGCATATGACTATTTAAATGTGCAAGTTGGAACTTTTCACCTGCGTGTCTCTATGGAGATGTTACTGCTTTGCCTCAAATATTATGCAGTATGTCATTAAACTTATCAATATCTAGGTGATGACAGGCCAACATATAGGTCAGATCTGTGGAGAGGAGATCTGTGCATGTCTTTAAAGTTATTTTAACAATAGAAAACTGCAATTACAGTAAATAAACATAAGATTAGTAAGTTTAATGCCAAACTGTGAACCATTCCAGGCAAATAAATAACATTTCCATGGAGGCGAGAAGCTGGCAGGCACCCCGGCAGACATATTGTTGCATTGTGTACCTTTAATTAATTTGTTGTTTTATCAGAATTCTTTCACTTCTCAATTGTTTCTCATAGAACTGAACTATAACAGATACACATGTTATGTATACAGGCTTCAAATACAAAAATCAAATGTCTACTCACTTTAATGGCTTCCACTGTGTCATATTTGTCCAGTTTGTTGATGTGATTGGTGATACTGGTGTTGAGAGGAGCTGCGGAGATGGGGTGGATGACTGTTGCATCATGGGATTGTTGTTGGTAGCGCTGACAATAGGAATACACCAACAGAGTCACCAAGCAGCCGAGTATGGAGCTGCTCAGACCCACGGCGATCATGTGGAAGAGGTTAAAATCTGAAAGAAAATAAAACTAAAATATTATGTTGAGTCCATTGACGCAGTGTTCAGTTACATAAAGACTTATTATACTGGATGACTACTGATGAACAAGTGATGCCTGTAGGTACCAGCTGCACAAATTAAACAGTAAAACACCAACCCACTTCTCAAGCAATTAGCAATTTATTCATTAATATAATTACACTTCTCTGATTACAACAACACCATTATAAATGATGATCTGCTTTATTTTGTTACCGACAAAGACTCAGAATTGCACAGATAAATCCATAAGATGTATTTTTACACTTGCATAGATTTAATTAAAGGAAATGAGAAAAACCGTCTGCTTAGTTACAGCCTAATGAAGTTTTTCAACAAAAGACCAATTCTCAGTTGGTTTGGCTTTAATTTCGTCTTAAAAAAAAGTGAATCCAGTGATGGGATGTGAGAGGCATCTTTAAGTCGCAGAGCTCCCAGCCAGACTTCTAATAAGAGAAGTAATAATGTCCAGACCCTGTGGAAAATACTAAAGCCCAGTCCCCCAAAGCAGCATGCAGATTACTGCAGTGGCTCCAAAGTGGCTGTGTTCACACCAAGAGCAAAAGAGGGAACTGTCAGAATCTATTACACACACTCTGTTGTATAGTTTGACGGTAGGGACGTCAGGTTTAATCAGTTAATCAATAATCAGAATTCAGATCACTATATTGAAACTAGAGCCTGACCGATATATCGGTTGGCCGATATTATCGGCTGATATGGGCACCTGGACTTGGAGCCTGTATGAACGGTGAGTGTTGGAAATATGTCGACTCTGAAGCTAGTTTTGGTTTTTTGTATGGATTAGCTGCTGTAGCTCCCGCACATAAAGAGACTGTTTTCTATTGGTCTATTGTAAAGTGACTATATTGGCCGTATATTTGTTACTGGACCTGCACTGATATGTAAATGAGCTGTGAATAGAGGTGTGAATTATGACATTTGCGCATATAATTAATTACCGCGGCGCACACGTATTTACGGCTAAAGGCTAATAGCGATTGTTTCTTTACTAGTTATGGGTCCGTCACGAACGAAATGACTCTTAGAGCCGACTCTTTGAAGCGAACGACGGGAGCCTGATCCTTACTGGGAGTCGTGTTTTCTTTCTCTCACTTTTTTTCTCTTCACGCCGCGTGCAGATTCGTGATTTGACAGCAGCAGCGGCTAAAAACGAAACCTTGAGAAATTTGCGTGTACGTAGAATAAAAAAAAGGAGCATATTTGGCTGGTTCAGTCCTGATTCAGTCCTGCTTTAGACGTGCTTTAGACCTGCTTGCAACAAAACAATCTGAAGAGCCGCTTGGGAGCCAAAAGAACCAGCAGCTTTTAGTGAGCCGAGCCAAAAGAGCCGGTTCTCTAAAAAAGAACTGGAATACTCATCACGAGTGTCTAGAATGTGATGCAAAAATGCCATTAAGCCAACCTACTGTCTGTAAATATGATGTAAAGAGGCAGAATAACAATAAATGTTGCCTAAATAAACCCAATTTAAAATCCACCAGAGCCAAACCTAAGTTTTTTAAACAATTCAACATTTACAGTGAATTTTTACATCACTAAATATATCGGCGATTATATCGGCTATTGGCAGCTCCAACTTCCATTATATCGGTTTCATATCGGCCACAGCAAAATCCATATCGGTCGGGCTCTAATTGAAACTCAAAACAATGATGATTTTAAAAACACAAGACATTTTCAATCAATTAAACCTCATCTTATAAAAAGTTAAGGTGACCACATAGAAAAATAGACAATGTGAATGAAAGTAAATTTAGGATTTGCATGGGCATGGTGACAAATATGAATAATAAAAGTGAATATTTAACAAAAATTTAAAAGGGCCCATATTACACTGTTTTCTGATCTATGTTTTAATGTTGGTTCCTCATCACAAACATTCCTAGAGTTGTGTTTTGTTTCATTCACACATGTTTAAATATGCAGATACTTAGGCTAAAGTCTTTTCTCAAACAGAAAACACTCTGTTCCACCTTGTGATGTCATGTAGTAATACAGGAAGTTCTCCACTATGCTTTTTTAACTCCATACACCTTCACTAGAATCATTTGGATGATTTAAGACCTGGTATTACCAATCTCTACTGAACAAAAAGGTAAAAGGAGCTGTTAACTTGAAAACTACCGCTTCATGACATCACAAGGTGGTACAGGGCATTTTGAGCTTTGGAGATGTAGACAGACTAATAATAAAGGATTACTCAAACATGTATGAATGAAACAAAACACAACTCTGGATCTGTTTACAGCATTCTAACATGACTTAAAGCTCACAAGAGTCACTTTTGATTAATAAAGAACTTTTAAACTGGATGCCCTTAAAAAGTGAAGTTTGCATTCATGTATTAAAAGTACAGGGGATTGTGAACCCTTGTAACTGTGTTTGATCAATAGAACATTCAGAAAATCAGGTCGAGGCAAATATGTCCCATCAAAGAGAACGGAGCTATGAATCTTTTTTTTACCAGTACATTTGTGGCATTGTTAATTTTATATTTGCTATAACACTGTATTGGATTTTCACAAGAACTCTGCTATACTTTGCGGTTTTCCTTTATATCTTCCAGAATACCTTGGTATAAAACTCAAACTTTACCTTCATTTGGGAAACTTTTACAACCTAATTTATCAGCTCCTAACAGCTTTCTTATTGCGGACACTGCTTGTAAAAACATCAGGTGCTTTCAGCCTCTATAAGTCCTTTTATTACCTCCACAGCGGCGCTCCTCCTGGCTCGAGTGTGCAATTGAGACTTCTGCAAAAGAAACAGCCAAAAACAGCGGAATTAGGATCGAATCTGCATGATAAATAACTCACACAAAACAGAAAACAACATATTGAAAGGTGCACTGTGTAACTTTTCTGGTGAAACATACCCTACCTGGTGCTATACCAGAAATTTTCCACAAATAGCATTAAATGTATCTTTTGCTTTGCCTGAAATGTTCCTCAAAATAGCATTCAAATATGCATCACCATGGAGACAAGACATTTTCTGGAAAGCATGTTTAAATATATATTTATGTAATTCTGCCTTATTTGACACTAGGCTCTTGTTATGTTTGCTACTGATTTTGAATTTATATTACCATTTATATTCTTGCTCTTTGTTATTATAATAGACTTGCACTTAGACAAACTTTATTGATCCACAAGGGAAATTATTTGGACTCAGCAGCTCACACATCACAATATATTATAATAAAAAGAGAAAAATAAAACATATAAATGGTAATAATAAATTCTAAATAGGTAGTAAAAATAGGAAGAGACTGTTGTCAAATAAGGTGTAATTATATGAATGGATATGTATAAGTACAAATAAAACATAGAAATAAACTAATAAAAATATCTCAGCTATATACAGTCCCTGACAAAAGTTTTGTCGCTTATCCATTTTGTAAAAACAAAAGCTTATAACCTGACTTTAAATTAATCGATTGGTTTTAGAAATGTCTCATATGAAAGCTAAAACCCTCCCAAATTATGCTCAATATACTAAAATAAATTTGCTTCACTGAAGAAAGATTGATCATTTAATGAACACAGAAAGGTCAGATTTTGGCAAGACAAAAGTCTTGTCGCCTTGTCATATGATGCACCCAATCCTAGATTACAGCCTCACCTGTGATCAGTTACTGATCAGTCAATTAGTGGGTGTGTATAAAAAGAACCCCAGCACACCAGACCTTCACATCAACTGCAACTTCACCTCTGACAACATGCCTAAGATCCACCCTGAGACCAAAGTGTTAATTATCAAGAGGCTGAAGACCAGATCCACTGCTGAGGTGGCTGACACCTTCAATGTGTCTCAGCGTCAAGTACAAAGAATAAGAAAAAGATCTGAAATGACTGGAGATGTTTTTGACAAGCCCAGGTCCAGCAGACCCCGCAAGACAACTGCTCGGGAGGACCGTTTGTTGATTCGAAAATCCAAGGCCAGCCCCTTTTCCACTGCAGCAGACTCCACCAGGCCTGGTCACCTCAAGTCCCTGTGTCAACCACAACAGTTTGTAGAATTCTGTCTCGAAATGGCCTCCATAGTCGAATCAGTGCACAGAAACCAGCACTAAACAAAAGGCAATTAAAAAACCATGTGGCATTTGCCAAGGCCCACAGCCTGCTGAAAGGATGGACACTGGAAAAGTGGCAGAAGGTGGATTTCTCAGATGAATCCTCGGTTGAATTACATCACAGCCGCCGCAAATAATGCAGGAGACCTACTGGAGCCCGCATGGATCCAAGATTCACCCAGAAAACAGTTAAGTTTGGTGGCGGAAAAATCATGGTCTGGGGTTACATCCAGTATGGGGGTGTGCGAGACATTTGCAGGGTGGAAGGCAATATCAATAACCTAAAATATCAAGAAGTATTAGCTCCTCTTACATTCCCAACCATAAAAGGGGTCAAATTTTGCAGCAGGATGGTGCTCCATCACATACTTCTATCTCTACATCAAAGTTTCTCAAGGTGAAGAAGATCAAGGTGCTCCAGGACTGGCCAGCCCAGTCACCAGACATGAACATCATTGAGCATGTCTGGGGTAGAATGAAAGAGGAAGCATGGAAGGCAAAACCAAAGAATCTTGATGAACTCTGGGAGGCATGTAAGATGCTTTCTTTGCTATTCCTGATGACTTCATCAACAAATTGTATGAATCATTGTCGAACCGCGTGGATGCAGTCCTTGAAGCTCATGGAAGTCATACAAGATATTAAATATGGATCTCACAGCACCACTACTTCATTCACTGAAGTTATGCAACATATTTTTGTATTTGAAGTAAATTATTTGTTCAATTTTCTGTAGGCGACAAAACTTTTGTCTTGCCAAAATCTGACCTTTCTGTGTTCATTAAATGATCAATCTTTCTTCAGTGAAGCAAATTTATTTTAGTATATTGAGCATAATTTGGGAGGGTTTTAGCTTTCATATGAGACATTTCTAAAACCAATCGATTAATTTAAAGTCAAGTTATAAGCTTTTGTTTCTACAAAATGGATAAGCGACAAAACTTTTGTCAGGGACTGTACAAGAGGTCATAAGGAAAAACAGTGCAAAAATGATATGATGATTGACAGGACATGGGGTTATCTGTAAGGGTGAGTTGTTACAGTACAATTGTATGGAGTATTGTATAAATGTAATCCTGTATCTCTCGATGTTTGGACGGAACTGTAAATTATTGTGATGTGTGAGCTACTGTGCCCAAATAATTTCCCCTGTGGATCAATAAGGTTTGTCTATATGTTTTTCAAGTATTTAGCAATAAAAACACCCGCATTTGATTAAATACAAAATAAATATACATTTAATGCCACTATGGAATTTCCTAGGCAATGCAATAGCTTCTTGATGACAGACAAGCAGGTGGTGGATTATGTAACCCTAGAAAAGTTACGCCGTGCACCTTAAAAAAGAAAACAAAAGAAAACTTCAATGCCTAATCTTAGCCGTGGCACCTGGAGTAGTTTATGAAAAGTATCAACTCTCATTACAGCAAATGGAGTGCAAGACTTTCCTAATGAACCATAATAGACTGGCGTTCCCATTAAAACAGATGGATGATAAGGGATAGGGGGCAAATGGCTAATTCGACACAGAGTATTATAACCCTGCTAATTAATACAGAAAGGCTTCAGATAGAACTTTCAATCAAATGTTTACATGGCGTTGCAATGAATTATGCCAGCAAGTATGAGAGTCCAGTCATTAATATGGGGAGATATGTTTAATAGCCATAGTATAAGCAGTAATGAGACTCATCTCTGAAAGCACTAAGGTTGGCATAATGATTTTTATGAAGTACAAATCAATGCACATGGGAATCTCACATTACACACTGTCAATAGGAAGATGCCAGTCTAAGCAGATACTAGCAATACTAATTATGTGCGTTAAGCTTTTAGGGCATCTGATCTCATACATTAAGGAAACCACCATGTAATTTCACTCCACTTATAATTGAATTCATCTTTAGTGTCTACTGCTTGACTGTTTTTCTGTATGTCCCAGTTTAAAATCAAACTTATTTTCTGCTCATTAAGATGCAGCTCAAGTTCAGGCTTTACTTGTCAAATGTTCAAAGTTCAGTGGAAATAGTGTCAGTCTAAAATTGGTTCAATATTATTGATCTGTATGAGATATGTGAAGACCAGTGCACAAATGACTTATCGGCTACTTTATTTATGCAAGTCTATTTAATTTAACATAGCTAAGTTAAAGTAAAATGGGTGTGACAAAAACATGTAATACAATATATGGAAAAAGTACATTATTATTATTAGTGTTAAAGGTCCTACATTATGCAAAACTATAATCTATAATGCTGTTACCTCCTCAAAAACATACTTGGAGTTGTATTTAGTTTCATTCACACATGTTTGAGAGCTGTCTGGCATTAACAAACCTTAAACTATTCTGCTCCACCTTGTGATGTTACCTTTAGTTCAGCAGAAAACAGCAATTCCAGGGTTGAAATTATCCAAAGGATTATATTGTGAAGGTGCACTGAGTTTATAGACACAGTGGAGCACTTCTTGTTTTGCCACATGACATCACAAGGTGGCACAAAGTGTTTTCTGTTTAAGAGAAGAACTAAACATGCAGGATTTGTGTGTTAAACATGTGTGAGCGAAACTCCAGATATGTTTTTGATAATGAAAAAACAAAACATAGAACAGAAAATAGAGTAATATAGAACATTTAAGCAAATTCAATGTGTGGATTACATAAACATAGAAAAAGAAAAACTGAGAAGCAATCTAGAGCGAAGCTGTGACTAAACTAAGCTGGGTTCTACCAATTTACAGTGTTGTGAACTAATGGCCCATAGATCAGCTGAATAATGGACTCTTATATAAAACATAGCCTAAATCTGTTACATAAATGCAGTTTCTTGTGCAGCATTATCATAATATTACACTTACATTTTTTTACAAGCCTCATCTTTATCTTTTACTTGTAGCCATTATAGAGTATGAAATTGCCTGAACAAAGCTGATAAAAACAATTCATTAACTTTTTTATTGTTGCCATTAAAGCATCCTAATAAGATAACACAGTCCTAATTGACCTAGTGCAGAAAAAGCATCAAGGTACAATTTCTCCCCAAAGACTAAAACACTTTTAACAGGCCTTTAATGAAGATATAATAACCCAGGCAGGATAGAAGAAGTGCAAAATGTGCTGCCCTAGTTTGTCTCTGTTGGCTTTCCGTACAAATCCCAACTTCCCCAAAGATATGAACCTCTTTGAACCTTACATCTCACCTTTGACCCAACATGGACCCCTGTGAGATATCAATAATAGATTTGATTTTCGTTTGCTTCTAGGAAATGAATGGGACTCACAATACAGATATATTGTAAAACAGAGCATCAGAATGAGGCCCCTGTTTACTGTCTGCATCTAAATATAGAGTGTTTTATCTTCTGCGTTGAAAGCACTTATAAACTCATCATGGTGAATAAGTAGAATGCTAGGAATGCGTTGGGAAAGTAAGAAATAACTGGACTGCTACAAAAAATTGGTTACAGTCCCTTTAAAGGGCCCATATTACACTACTTTCTGATCTGTGTTATAATGTTTTCTCATCAAAAAAATACCTGGAGTTGTGTGACTTAAAGCTCAAAAGTGTGTATTATAGGACCTTTAATGTACGGTGTTTTTGTTACCTGGTATGAAATTTGAATCAGAGGAGCAGGGCCTTGTCTCGCTGCTATTCCCGGAGCATTGGTTTCCTGTTGGGAAAAGGACATCGCAGTGCCTCAGTCGGACTTGCGCTCCATTGGAATCACAGGGAGACCAATCGGACCAGCTGGACCAACTCTCTGTAAACAGAACGACAACAGTGCGTCACACAAACAGTACCGAAATAAAGGTTTGAATTAAAAATGCCCTCAGCTCCATATTAGTCACACATGAGGGGCCTTTAAGGGAGAAGAATGTGAAATAAGCAGTATACCTGTGATGGAATGGCCTCAAGATGCTTTTTAATAAAATATGTGTCCGTGGAGCTGGCAGTAAGAAATATCATAAAGCTAGTGCCCATACAGTACCAATAAGATAAAAATAAGCAAAGATGTAATAGTGTTTACATTTGAAAATATATCTAGGGTCACTGAGGGGGAAGAACAGAGGCTCTTTCATATACTTGGGTTTGTTTGATGTTGTTATGACTACACTGGGCTTAATACATCACATTAGGAGTTGATGTTTATGAGGCATTATACATACTGCATAGGCTCCCTCAGGTCAAACTCATACTCACATCCAACTTGTTTATTTTTAAAGTAGAAAAATTCAATACACCCATAGTTCAGTTCAAGTTGAACATTGCAACATGAACACACACAGTGAAATATTGTGGATTTATTATTGATTATTAGACCTATTGTTTTTTTTTTGTGCAGTTTCCACCACCTGTTAGTCTCCATGGAGAGTTATTGCTTTGCGTGGGATGTTCCGCAGCATGGCATTAAATATATTTAAAAAAATATATTACATATATATATTCAGTCTTTTGCTGAAAATTATGCCACACTCATTACTATGAGTGGGTCACCTATTGAACAGATCTGACCTAACTTAGATTGGTGGTGTTTCCACGGAGATAAAATAAGTTTAATGCCATATGGTGGAACCCAAAAAGTTACAAAGTCTACCTTTAAGTGTGTATTTAAAATCATCATTAAAATAAATAGATGAAATCTTTAGCTATGTGTGTGCTAAAGCATTTTGGTAAAGAAAACATATTGTGCTGGAGCCTGCTATATAGTTATAGTCTATGACACCTGTGGATCTTTATGTTATAATCTACACATTTTACACTACAATATTCATCTAAAGTGACTTAGTAAAAGAAACCAGTCTGCTGACTTCTGCGTTAAAAACTGCAGTGGCCAATGGCAGCAGACACTGCCACAAACGTCATCACAACAAAGGCCTCTGAAGCTGTCAGCCTCTCCTTTGGATAGCAGCACATCATTCTAGCGAGTAACATTTTTTAAAATTTTGCCAAAATAACAAAGTAGGTAGAGAGCAGTGGGCGTATGCCGATGGCGATGAAAACAGAAATTGATTGGCAGTATGGTGTCTTGAAAATAGGTGATTAAAGATTACTCAAACATGCATGAATCACTCCAAATACAACTTTGAGAGGGTAAATGAAAATTAGAACATGGTTAAAAGCTTTGAAAAGTCAGTTTTGAACAAAAGGTCTGCTTTAACCATATTTCTAAAATGAATGTTTAGTATTGTAACATATTCTGCATGACTAATGTAAGATGGTGATTGAAATTTTGAACACAGATTTTGGCAGTAAACATGATAAAATATGTATAAGCTTGATATTATTTTACATCTTTGGAGATCTGTCAGTTTTATCAAGGCAGAATCATTATGGCTCTTTTTTAAATGTTCTGTCATTTCTCCTTTAGAACCACATCCTTTGTTTGATTATTCAAGTTACAGTTACACTATTTTCTTGTCATCTCAGCAACACACCTGCAGAGTTGTGCTGTCAGTGCTATAATGTGAGAGTTTGCTTGTTACCTGGGCAGCCCTGGGTGTTGCACAGGGCCTCCTCTGTGTGCAGGCCCAGGCAGATGTCTCCCCCGTGGGCAGGAGGGGGGTTACTGCACGTCCTGGTCCTCATGTAGTGACCTCCACCGCACGTCACCGAGCACTTGGACCATGACGACCAGCACGACCAGCTGCCATCCACTGCAACACACGCAGAATCAATCAGTTACCACGGAAACAAAACAATGAGGTAATGCTGTAGGGGTGTTCTAAACCTGGATTGAACCTGGACTAAACTTAGACTAAACATAGGACTTAACCTGGAGCTAAACCTGGACTAAACCCAGTCTAAACCTGAACTGAACCTGGGTTATAACCTGGACTAAAACCATGGACTGAGCATGAACTAAACCTGGACTAAAGACAGACTAAACCTGGACTAAACCCAGACTAAACCTGAGACTGACTCTGGATTAAACCTGGGACTAAACCCTGGACTAAACCTGTGACTAACCCTGGGACTAAATCTGGACTAAACCTGGACTGAACTGTAACTAAACCTTAGCAATAAACCCAGACTAAACCCAGAGTAAACCTGGGACCAAACCTGGACTAGAATGGGTCCAAAAAAACTACACATCAGGATTAAACTGAGCTAAACCAGGACAAGTGTGATGGCCCCCTATACGCATGAATAATTATACTGGTGTTAATGTTTTATGAAAATACTGCATGCGATTCTCTCTCCACTTTTGCAGTCTCTATTTATGTAGCAAAAATTTCTGCAAAAAAAAAAAAAAAAATGCTTTGTTCTAAATCAATTATTCATTAAGAGCACCACAAGCTGTCAGTTTTGTTTTGACTTGTTGTGATTTCCTGAAACATATTTTTGTAGCTAACTACATTTCTGTTGCAATTCAAAAAGCGTTTAGTCCTTTTATTGCATAGACCTACTTTTTAATTATGTTTCCAGGACGATTTTGTGATTTCCTATTGTTTATTAATATATCACATAAGTAAACTTTGGAATACATCGAAACTGCTTTACAAATGAACCCCAGAGATCTTGCATATCTATTTGAATAATTAACAGGAAAGAAGAAAAATGTTGTTTACAGTTCCCCAAAACTCCAGCCATGTTTAGATTTATCCTTCACATCATTAAAAAGCCAATTTCCTCTGTAGATGATGTGATTGGAAGTCATTAGAAGCCATTTCAAACAATGAATTTGTCCATGTTTCTGTGTGGAGTTTGTGTGCCTGACTCTCCAGCCTGGCCCTCCCCTCCTGTTTCACTGTCTTCTTATTAATAAAGATAAATGAAGCATACAATCCCTGTTATTGTTCTCTCTGTATTGTCGCCAAACAGTGAGCACTTACACTAGCAAACACAACTCAAACTGAGAAGTAAATAAACTATGGACCGTGCAGGATTTTTGTATCATTTACTTATAATCTGTCTCACCCCGGGCTTCATTGTGACCCAGAAATCCCTCTCAAAGCTACCTGTGGATTGCTTTTAAAGTCCAAAGGAATGACTATCAGGGGTGTGCAGGACAAGAGGCAGCAGATATTTTGTGTCATCAGGTGTAATTTCTCTATCTCAACCTGACACCGCAGTCGATATCATGACGGATCATCTCATTTCAGGAAAAAAAAATAAAAAAATCATGGTTTGTTTCCAATGCAGAGGCTGGCGAGTTGAACTCTCTCTTTGTTTTGCCTTTTTAGCTCCACACAGGATGCTGCGGAGAGAGCGGCCCAAATATTTTCTCTTTGTCTGTGGGGTGCTAATTGAGAATGCATCAGAATTCATTGTTCAACAGACTAGGTTTTATCCGCTTCTTCGGGCTAGAACAACAAAGCGGTGTTGCTTTATTACTTCCACTGGTGTACGAAATAGCATCCCCCAATGTGTATAGAATGGTCAGGCATAACAGATGACCACCTGCCTACATTACACAATATATTCTGTTAATCTATTACATTGATATCTTGCCTCTCCACAGATCTAACCACTAATTTGGTCTTTCTGCTTATCTTTATGGAGATAGATAAGTTTAACTCCTTTGTTGCTTTGGGAAGTGAATATTTAAATGTTTCTAACTCCATAAAAGATAATCTTTGGTGGACTAACATCTGCATCTATTGATACTTTGCAGCTGATGTCATCAACTTTTCCTGTAGGTGTCAAAGTAACTGGAAGCACTACTCTGTTAGAAAATCTGTCACTCAAACTAGAGTTAATCTGAGCTTTATTTTAACACAATCTGAGCAGAAAGCGCTGACTTGGTTGGAAGTACAATAGGTGACATGATTTGTGTGCCTAAGAAAGTCTCACACATAAAATTACAGACACAAGTTGGCTAGTAGTAGTAACAGTTTTTCGCTTGTATTCATCACAAGCTCCTGAAAATTACTGGTTTTAAGTTTTGTTATTTTTCTTGAGACTTATCAGACTATCTTTAAAAAAAAGAAAAAAAAAAAAAAGACTGTGTTTGCTAATGTGTGCACTGTATCACCATTCTGCTGAACATTCTGCCGATAGAGATACACGTAGAACACCCCCAGTGTGATGTCATTGCAAAGTATCAATAGCTATATTTGACATTTACGATATTTAGATAACTGTGTTTTATTTGCATCACACTCATTTAATGTAACAGTAACTTTAGTCAGTCTAGTCTACTGTACTCGTCTCATTTCAGATTCTGGTATTTTTTTTGTCAGGGCCAGAATTAACGTGTCAACTCCTACAAGCCTTGGCTGACTACATCATCTGTCACTGTTCAGCCCCTGTTCTTTTTGGACCACTTTTGACAGCGCTGGAGAGATCCTCTGACCTGAACATCTTGCCCTCCCAATTTACCCCCTGTCAAACTGGCTCAAATCCTCACCCATTTCTACACCTTCAAACACATTACTGTTAGAAAAGTTCACTCATCAAATGTACTACAACCTCTAACAGTTGCCATGAGAAATTACAATTATAGACCTCAACTATTGGTTAAAGGTCCTATATTACATAAAATTGACTCTTGTGAGCTTTATGCCATGTTCAAACATATGTCAAACATACCTGGAGTTATGTGTTATGTGTGAATGAAACAAAACGCAATTCCAGGTATGTTTTTGTTGAGGAAAAAAACATTATAACATAGATCGGAAAATAGCATAATATGGGCCCTTTAAAATATTTTACAGGATCAGTTTCTGGCTTGCTTGTAATATATAACAACTTAATTTGCTTAAAACCTGGAAATGGAGATGGTCAGGAGAGAGCAATCTGAAGCTTTTAGTTAATTGAGTCTTGGTATAACCCTGATAAAGACTGGGGCTATTAGCTGTTACATTACTAAAAGGTATGTGTGGTGCTCCCTCTGAACTAATTGAAACCAAGCACAAACAGCTTCACGGACAGTCATTCTGATTCACAAAGGCTACCTGCACTGGCTCCAAATGTGATGAGGTAATCTGATAATGGGCTCATGTCAGACTATTTGCACAGAGTCAATATGAGAATGAAATCAGATTAGTAACAGTGTCTAAAAAGGCCAGGATGGAATAATTGCATAATGTATTTTTTCCCTTTTTTTCCTATTTGGGACACAGTTAAAGTTCTGCTGAGATTACAATATTGATAACACTGGATTTTTGATTGAACTAATATTTATTACCGGGTTTGGGACAGTCACAGATAATATCTTGGCATGTCTGAATTACATTACAGTTTTACTCCAGTCCAAGACACATTTTCCTAAGGAACACTAATGCAATTCAATGTGTAAACATACAGTATGTTGTGTTTGAATTCAATACTGTATCAGTTTAAAGTGCCTACAGGACAGGTTACATATGTACTGACTAAAACACATTTAAGGTCATAATATTTCAGATTTTACTAAACATTCTACACTTTCTTTCACAAGTTTGACCATTTTTTAGGTTTCAGATTTTACTTAATGATTGGAAATGATAACATCACACCAGGGAATTCCATAACTGTAAGTGTAATGTAGGCCAAACTTTCTCTAATGTGCAAAGAAATTAATATTTTCAAAATTCTAAGAAAACACCTTTATTTTGCTGAAATCATTTAAAGTATCATAAAAAGGTGTTTTGCGAATATAAATTGTTCCAAACTTTTAGACAGAATTCTCCCAGTATGAAGTCATCAATATCGAGCGCTCTAAAAAGAACTCTCTAATTCCTGTAATTTTCAACATATTTTTTTACTTTTCTTCACAAATTTCTTCTTGGAGTAAAATATATATATATATATATATATATATATATATATATATATATATATATATATATATATATATATATATATATATATATATATATATATATATATAAATATTTACAACATTACAATTATCCAACCAAATTAAGAGAATCATCCAAATCTGCCATACGCACATTAAAGATACTACAATTTAATTACAGGCCAAATTAAATTAATAGTAATTTTTATTGTGTACTCTAGCAGTAATACTGCATTGTATTTTTCAATTTGAATCCAATTACTGAAATAAATGAACTTTCACCAATTAAAACTCACTGAAGTACTGCAAAGCCCATATTTGATGAAGTAACAAAAGGCCAATAACTCTTAATTTGACCCAATAATTTGCAGAGGAACAAAGTAATCTGACGTTGGAGCCATGCCAAAAAGCAGCACTCCATTTGACCCGAGCACTTCCTGTTTCTCTCCTGGGCCTGTTTTTAATAATCACCTCGCTCTTGGTGGACAGCAGGTGTGCCTCACGCCAAACCCAACGCTGGATTTCCATTTAGACAGCTTACTTCACCCTCTCTTTTAATTAGAACGGTTCTGCGCGGTGTCTTCGGCTCAGAGGAGAGCTCAAAAACGCATTGTCTCAGGGCTTTTCACAACACGGCACGCGCTCCCGACGCTGGCAGCATAATTACCCACAGATGTAATTACAATGGTGGATGCGCCTCCGGGTGGTCTGTTTGATTCCTAGTGTAAATTGGGGTCTTCGTCACACCTCTTATCCACAACTGATTTCTTTTGTTGGCCCTGATCTGTTACTCCTGTGTGGGGATGCTCATTTATTGACTCATGGGTTTGAATAATAACACAATGCCAACATTTGTGTAGAGCCATTGATAGAATTGTAATCAAGATTGAGATTTAGTCATTTCTAATTGTAATATCGCCCAGCTCTAAGCAACAGCACAACAATATGATTACCTGTGGCTATGCATGTATGTCAGAGTGAAGACAAATTAGCACTGTTACCAAGGCAATTTTGAATGATTAAATGTCCTCAAAATGTCACTTAAAAGCTGACACCCATGAATACAACTTCATTGCTGCATAATATATTGTCGCTATAATCACTGGATCATGAATGGAATAAATATACACCTTTCTTTTCTGTAATTGTAATGAAGGTGGGAGAACAACTGCCAAATATCTAGCTGTAAGTAAAACTCCCTATTAAATAAAACTATTATTTATGGTCAAACCTGAAAAGGAAACTACAAAACTTCACATTAACATAAATAAAGTAGACCTAATGTTTTGTTGCTTCATTGTATTTAACTGACTTACAAAAATATGTCAACCTTATTCTTTAAAGAGTGTGCAATGGAGCTTTCTACAATGTTACAACATATGGCCTCAATAAAATATGCCTCAACAGATTTTAGATGTCAACCATGCATGTTTGAGTAATTTAGTGATCTCTCCCCAGCCCATCCCTATTTAAACCCTCCTTGTGGTTAGCAGTATGAGTTCACCCCACAAGCCTGTGGAACTCAGGCTCCGGTACGACCACTTTTTGTAGATACAGTACAAGAGCAGGATACAAAACAATACATTACAGCTTAAGTTACCAAAAAAACTAACCTAACTAACCTAACCTTAATTACCCATAGAACTGTATTACCCATAGACCACTGTCTTTCAAATAGGAGATCTTCCTGGGGTGTTTTCTGGCTCCATCAACACTGAAAAAGTGTAACCCCTCTCTCTATAAATGCTGCTGTGAACCTCATCATTTTGGGCTTAAAATGTTCATATCAACCCACTCTATATGATCCTGGTGTTTTTATTTCCCTGCATGGTACATAAATAAATTCCTATTCCTAATATGCCCCAATATGGACCTGGCTCCAAATTGAATTGGATAGATCTTAAACAGCAGCTGTCAGTTCTGTTTACCTCTATTTTGTCTCTTGTTCAGACTTTCTTACCTGGACAAGGTGTGACGTTGCACTCTTGAAACTCCTGTGCTGGTCCCAGGCACGACTGTCCTCCGTACTTGGGCTCAGGGTTGGTGCATGTCCTTTTCCGGCTCCTTATCCCTCGACTGCAATCCCTGCTGCACTGAGACCAAGAGCTCCAGGCTGTCCAGCCCCCGTTGACCGTGTGTCCCGAAATCCTCCCCAATCGCAGCACTTCGCCTGTCACCAGAAAAAACAACAACACAAGTCAGAACATTGCTCCAAACTAGCTCTTAGTGTCGGTGTTTATTGGCCCCTCTTTTGTACGGTGAGGTTGGATACTTGGTCTCACTCGCGGTTCGGGCTTTGTGCATTTGTTCTGAAGAGCAACAAGAGGGCAGAGAGTCAATAAAAGCACTTGATAGCGGTGAATGTGTCTTTACTCTTGCAGTTGGGAGATAGTCTAAAAGCCCCATTTCAGCCGAAGAAGGAGGAAGCAGTCTTCGCCATTCCCGTGGGCCCATTCAGTTGTAAATAAGGTCTAAAAATGGCTCTCGACAAATAGACTGTAAGCAGGTATGGTGTTGTTACAGCAATTTATGTGATACAGTGACTTGAAAGAAGACGCATACAAATTTCTAGCGCTGTTGCTATCAAAACATTACCCAAAAAAAAAGGTTTTGAATTGAATAGTATAAATATTCTTCTGCCACATGGACTGGAAATACCAAATCGGAATCAACCGCCAATACTACTACCACCACTACTACTGCTACTACTATCACTACTATCACTGTCACTACTACTACTGCTACTACTAAACTACTTGCTTACCTTAATCAATATTATTACAGCTCTACAAGGTTCACAGAATGATGGAAGACTGTTAATAATAATTGACAATTTAAAACAAAAATATGTCTTTTGAATTGTGAAGAGTCCTCAAAATGTCATCATATGTAACAAGAAGCTGAACTTTATAAAATTTAAATGCACATGTGTCTGATATATTTTACAGACCCCTTGACGATTCTTAATTTTTACTAAATAAAAGTAAAATAAAACAGTTTTCTGCAAATAATTCAAAACCTTCAGCTACTCTGGCAATCATCATTTTCTTCACATGGCTTTAGTGAGTGGCCTATTCGAACACAACCAGTCTGCTAATCTGTGTACTCTTGTCTGGAAGGAGTTGAATCAAGGACTCGTAATGAAAAAATGTCATTTCTATTAAAGCCTAATTAACAACATGCATCAATCAGGAGAGTGGCACTGGGGTCTGGCATTGAGAGACAGACAGACAGACAGCCGGTTAAAATAAGGTTTCAGTCCTTTTCAATGAATACTAATCACCTCCAAAAGAATATGTGGTACAGCCGTGGCTATTCAGGCATAACAATATCTACATTACTGCTTTTGAGAATTTACATTCTGAGAACAGATAAGAATCAACTGAGGACAACAGCCTATATTTGTGGTCATAGTTAAATGTGCACTGTGTAACTGTTTGGTTGAGGGTCCGTCACCTGTTTGTTTCTATGGATATGTCATTGCTCTGCCTGGAATGTTCCATAATATGACTTTAAACATCTCTACCTTACATTTATCTAATTACAGGTGGTTTTATAGCTCAAGAATACCAAGAAAAACAGGCATTCTGACTGTGAGCGGGGACGCCTCTCCACAGATCTGACCTGGAACTTGGTCTGGTTTGGTCTCCATGACGATAGAAAGGTTTAATACCATACTGGGAAACATTTCAAACAAAGTAATGACATCTTGACTACAAATAAATGTATTGTCATATAGCATCTAACCTTTATTTGTTTTGGTTTAAGAAAAAGCCCTTTATGTCAGTCATTATCATTTGTTTAGATCATGTAAAATGTACTGAAATCATGGTGAAACTTTCTTAATTCAGTAATTAATAACGAACTTGTCTAGATTTCAGTTTTTGCAGTGTTGACCCTTTAAAATCCAAGACTGTGTTCACATTTGTCCTGGTTTGATCCTGGCTTACTTAATCTTGGTCTAGTCCAGGTTTAGTTTCAGGTGCAGTGCCAATTGAGAATACATCCAAAAAACAATATGATGACAATAAAGACGACATAATGTGTTTATTTCAAGTACTGAGTTGATTTTTCGACTTGGTTCGACACTTCTTCAGCCAGATTCCCATGTGCAGAGAGATCCCAGTGGCATTTGTAGCACTAACAATCTAAGACACAGTGGGGATGTGTTACAAGATGGACTCCGTGCTGCTGTCATGAGCCAGTGTGAAGGAGCGCTCAGACTAATTGGACTTGATCTTCACTTGTGATGAAACCACAACAATGATTGGAGTGGGGCTGGAAACACACAGGGACGCTATCAGAAACCATTTAGCATTTTAGCATTGGTGTCTGGAACAGAACAGGAGACTGGCCATCAAATATTGAATTTTAAAGGTTCAATATTGCACAGAATTGACTCTTATGAGCTTTAAAGGTGCACTCACACTAGGACTTTAAAACCATGCCCAAGCACGGATCGCTCCTAAAGCACGGTATGTTTGTGTGTTTGAGTGCATTCGAACCATGCTCAGGTGCGGGACTTTGGCCCGTTTGCAGGAGGTGGGCCAAAGCATGGCATGGTTGCTCATGTACGTGTACATGCACAACTTCACTATATGAGCCCTGGACGCACATCAGCTTCACTATTTAATAGATATTTCTGCCACTGGACTTTTTTTTCTTCGCTAAAAGCGTTAGCACATGTAAACAGTCAGTGCCGTGTGATGATGACGTTGGGCCATAGCCCGGTTCGGATGTGCAGGTGTGAGTGTGGGCCACAGAACCGTAAGCAATCGCGCTTAAGCATGGCACAGTTCTAAAATCCTAGCTATTTTATAATGTTGTTACATCTCAGAAACAAAACTGGAGTTGTGTTTTGTTTCATTCACACATGTTTAAGTAATACTGCATTATTAGGCTGTCTGCATCCTTAAAGATCAAAATGCCCTTTAAATGCATTTTTCTTAGCATAGTTCCTTATAGCATTACAGTTATTAATAGTTTAATAGAGATGACTGCTTTCCCTATATTTTCCTAAGCAACATTACACAATACACAATCAATGAAAACATATAGACTGGTGATATGTGTTGCCCATGGATGCAACGGCAGTATAATGATGAATAAGCACATAGTGAAGTCATAACCTTCTTCCATAATTCACTATTAAGTACTTGGTTTTATAACAGTGTTTTAACATTTATCTCTTTCTTAAAAATGTGGACTGAATATCTTCTACAAAGGTCTTTCAGTGTATTTCAACTGCATGGGTTTTTCAGCTTGTTTTGTTCAGTTAAAATGATCAGTAGAGTACTAGAGGTTAATCTGAAGAGTTCTGCTTTTTGAAACAGCCTCGCAGACTCTGTAACCTTCTTCTTTTGTATTTTGTGTTTTCCCTCTCACCCTATCATTTCACTAATTGTGTGTCGTAGTCTGTCTTCTTAACGGCATTAACCTTCTTTACGCCTGTTCTCCTCGGCCTCCACCTCTTTCACCCTTGTTGTCCTGTCTTGTGTTTTTTCACCTGACAGTTAGCGAGCATCTATAAGCTGCTTTATATTCTGGAGGTGGCGTCCATTTGTTTACCTTGTGCAGGGATCGCAACCTTTTCGTAACTAGGGGGTGACCTTGGCAACTTCACCTCCGGGCTGCGGACTGCTGGACCCTCCGAGGCACGTTTTTTATATTGATCTACTTCAACGTAAGAACTGGCCTGCAAACTGTGCGCTATACTCCTTATCGCACCACTCCACTGAGGCCGTACACTGGCTTTGTAATGACCGTGCTCTAAACAAAGGCAATTCAAACAAGCGCTGGCTGTGATGTACTGGTCATGCTGCTAATGCTACTTCAATGGGGCAGACCTCCTGTCGCCAAAACAAACAGCGTGGTGCCCTCCCTCTCAAATAGGGGCTGGCGGGGGCGATCGATTGGTCGAAAGAACACACACACGCACATAAACACACACACAGAAGGGAAGCAGGGTCTACTGATGAGATGAGAAGGGCTCAAACTAACATGCATGATTCAAAACTAATGAATAAACAGGAACAGCGCCCACTAACAAAGAGATTAAATGTTTGATTCCTGCTCTCTCCACTGCCTACTCTCTTTGTGTTCATGGGCAAGATGCTTAACTGATTTTACTTCCACTGTCTGCAAATAAGTGCTTTGATTAAATGACTAGTTAGAAATATGCATTATAGATGTTACAATTATTCACATTCAAGTCATACTTCTCAAAAAATATTGTAAAAAAATATGAATAAAATAAACCGGTTGTGTTGCAACCGGTGAAATCATTGCACATACATAAACTACTATTGCTGCTACTTCAAAAATGTACAACATCATTAAGCCTAATAGTACTCCTTTTATTAAAACAAACAGCCCTTACTACTACTACTACTACTACTACTACTACTACTACTACTATTATCACTACTACTATTACTGCTACTAATGCTACTACTACCGTTACAACTACTACTATTAGTACCACCAAGGTTGTGATGTAGGACTTCTAAGCTAAACAATGCCACAGGGTAAAGAAACACACACACAAAAAAAAACATCTTCTTAAACAATCTGTTGGGGGCCATTGATCTTTCTGAGACCCTCGCACAGGCTGTACAAACCCCTGATGACTGAGGACTAAAAGAGACCACATGGACCAATAACAGTGAAGTACCTATGGGGCACACTTTAAACCTCAAACATGTGTGATCCGTGTGTATCAAACACAGAGTCACAGTACAGCGCTGCAGATGAAGAGGTGATTGAGTAAACAAGCTTTGAGCTACTTCACGGACAGGGGCCAAATAACGTGCCCAGATAACAGTGATTTGAGACAAACATGAGAGACAGCTGACCTTTAGGCCAGCAGAAAGCAATACACTTGTATGGGGACAAATGGTTTCCCTACAGCTACACTGGTCTGTAATGTGTGGATGGAGCCTGGGCTGGAATAGGGCTTTTAGGCATCTGTTTTTCTGTCTGGTGACAAGGTTTCCTGCCTTAATTAGGCTCCATTTCTGCGAAAATGAGGTGTCAAAATTGCAATTACCGCGCAAATCGGAAACCAAGGCAGAGCCAGCGTAAGAGCATTCTCCACACGTATACAGGCTGTGTTGTACTGAGTCAACACTGCAGCTCTAACCCAAACACTTTACCTCTTACACCAGAGCG